ATTTGAATATTAATCAGAGTATTTGACACCGTAAATGTCCATTGTACCGTTTCATTTCTGAATAATTGGGGTTAGGCTATATGCAAACAATGAACTTTTTCAGTTTCAATTGTTTTGAGGTGTCTACTGAAGTACCAATATCGATGTTTTGAAATCGTTTATTCATCAGTAGGTAATATTTTTGTTATAAGTACTTGTTTGTATGCAATAATAAATTATAAAATGAAGAGGCGTTTCATCTTAACTTCCATTAACAATTTGACGACAGTTTACAGCTCATTTTTTAGTTAATTTAGATGTGCAACATTCCAATGTGTAATAAAATCGTATAGTTTCGCAGAGGTGTATTTAAAAATGAATTTAGATAACCTTAATACCATTTTTGAAAGAGGCTGACATAACAGTGTATACTAAAATGTTTCTTAATGTGTTGTTATGCTTTCTTATAATTTAGTATAAATCTTTCACTGTTTTCATATTAAATAATGTATGCAACAATCACTTTCGTCATTTTATGAGGTGGTAACATTCGCTGGGTAATGTAATATAATAACAATTAAAGGCGTTAATCATTTTGAACGCTTCACGGTTAATAAATCTTGAATTGCTAATACGATTCCTATCACTAATTCATACATTATGTATAAGCATTATTAGGGATTCAAATGAAAATATTCAGCGATATTATTATATTTTTTTTCCTATCACTAATTCATACATTATGTATAAGCATTATTAGGGATTCAAATGAAAATATTCAGCGATATTATTATATTTTAGTTTAGTTTTAGTTTAGTGTTTATTGACCATTTTAAATTGCATACAATCTTTATGGCAAGTCATATACAAAAACAAAAAATTTATAGATATACACAAAAAAAATAAATATAGGCATTTTAATCAAGAGTTTTAGACCTCTTATAAGTAATTTCCATTTTAAAAATCTAAAGCAAATTTTAAATAAGCTCTAGTTTCATTTGTAAATAAAACGGTCCTACTTTTAATTAAATAGTAATATTAATATTATTATACAGGCACGGAATATTGTGGCCAAAATACGAGACTATCAAAAAGTTTCTCTTTTGGGATATATGGGGGTCTATTACGGTTACTTTTTAAAATTATTTTCATATTATACAGGGTGTCCCAAATGTCCTAAAAGTATCAAAGTTGTTTTTTTTTAACGGAATCCCTTAAAATTAATCGAATTTAAATGGCTGTAACTTGATGAATTTAATGAAATTACCTATCGAATGGTTTTAGGGTGTTCATAGCTAAGTCTTCGCGTTTTTACAGAATATGCCAAATAATCGTTCTTTGCACCATTTCGTGTATTTTACATAAAAGTTCCGTATCTAGTTACCTAGAAAACGAAGAAAATATTTTTACAGTACTTGGTTCAGTTATCGAAAATCCCAGTATTAATCAACATCAGATATCCAAAAATAATAACCTTAGTCAAGCAAGTATTTCAAGAGTTCTTAAAAAACAGATTTCATCCAGATTTGCCAAGAACTTTATGGAAATGATTTTGACAACCGAACTGAATTTTGCATGTGTGTGTTAGATAAAGTGACAGGAAATGTAAACTTATTTGGTCTCGTGAACAGACACAACTTTCACTACTATTCAGATTCGAATCCTCATCAATACAGAGTCAAAGAAATCAGACTAAGTGGTCCATTAATGTTTGATGTGGAATACTGGGCACATATTTAATTGGACCTTATTTTTTTAAAGGAACTTTAAATGGTATGAAGTTTCTTAATTTTCTTTTACACTAACTTCCAGTATTATTAGAAAAAGTCCCTTTAACCGTTAGAACAAGCATGTGGCTTCAATTGGATGGAGCTGCGCCTCATTATCATCGCAAGATTAGGCATTTTTTGATTGTCAAATTTCCATACAGGTGGATTGGAAGAAATGGATTTCAAAATTGGCCTCCCAGATTCTCGGATTTAACTCCACGAAATTTCTCTTTATGGGAATACATAAAAGAAATTGTCTACAATACGCCTCCAACAAATCCACAAGATATGAAAATACGCATAAGAGACGCTTTTGTAACCCCGCAAATGTTGTCCAGAGTTAGCAGTGATTTTGAAAAACGTATTTGGCAGTGTCTGGAAATGAACGGTCGACATTTCGAACATCTGTTATAAATATTTTGCTTCTGGTTTATGTTATCGTTGATATACAGGGTGTTAAAAAAAGAGTGTAAAATATTTCAGGAGGTAATAGTATGAACCAAAATAAGCAGAAAAGTCTTAATAAACATGGGTCCGCAAAGTAACGGTTGCGGAGATATGGACTACTATTCGTTTTTCAAACATTTTATTTTATTAGGAATAAACCGACAAAGGAAGCTTTTAACAAACAAAAAACAAAGTTACAGAAGATGTTCAAAGTGCCCTCCGTCCATTTCCAAGCAGGCACGACATTTTCGTCTCAACGATATTCGAACTCTTTCGGAAACACCCTCCTTGATTTGGATTTCTTAACACTTTTGATTAATCCGTAGTTGCAGCTTTTCCAGGCTATTTACAGGAGTACCATACACTAATGTCTTCAAATATCCCCAAACAAAGAAATCTAGAGGGTTCAGATCAGGCGATCTTGGAGGCCATAAAACAGGTCCGGCCCTTCCTATCCATCTATGTGGAAAAGTTTGGTGTAAATGCTCTCTAATGGCCATGGAAAAATGAGCTGGAGCACCATCATGCTGGAACCACATTTGTTGCCTCTGATTCAAAGGAATGTCTTCCAAAAACTCATACAGTGTGTTCTGCAAAAAGTTGAGGTAAGCAGTGCCTGTTAGTCGGTTTGGTAAAACAACAGGACCTAGAAACCTGTCACCTACAATACCCATCCAAATGTTTAATGAAAAACGTGCCTGATGTCCAGATTCTATTAGAGCATGAGGATTTTCGTCGGCCCAAATATGCGTATTGTGAAAATTAAACACTCCATTTCTTGTGAACCCGGCCTCATCAGTAAAAAGAATGTTTGCAAGAAAACGAGGGTCTTCAGCATCATGACGTAGAAACCAGCGGCAAAAAACCAAACGTGCTTGATGATCATTTATTGGATTTAAGGCCTGTACTCGTTGCACATGGTATGGTAAAGCAGTTGCTTGTGAAGGATTCTCCAAACAAGAGGACCACTAATTCCTACCTCGGCTGATGTTCTCCGCACACTCGTACCTGGAGTGGATACCGACCTTGGCCTTCCGGATAAATGGCACTGTTTGCTCAAGGAACCGGTATCACGCAATCTTTGGTGAATTCTTCCAAACGCGTTGTGAAGGAATCTGGCGCTTCGGTGGCGTTCCCATTAGCACGACCATACATGAAATGCATGTCTGTTAATTCTGCGTTAGAGTAACCAGCCATAGCGAAAGAAAACTTGTGCACTGAGAACAACTGTCAAATACGTACTGTTTATTTCACTAAACATCAACCAACTATTATAAGAAAATACACAACGTTTATGCAAAATAAAAAATGGGGCTAAAAAACATAAAACATTCCATATCTCCGCAACCGTTACTTTGCGGACCCATGTTTATTGAGACTTTTCTGCTTATTTTGGTTCATACTATTACCTCCTTAAATATGTTACACTCTTTTTTAACACCCTGTATTATTTAGAACTTTTATGTAAAATACACGAAATGGTGCAAAGAACGATTATTTGGCATATTCTGTAAAAACGTGAAGACTTAGCTATGAACACTCTAATACCATTCGATAGGTAATTAAAAATTACATTTTCTGGTAAGTAAAAAAGTATGGCATCCTATTTAAATTAATCAAGTTATAGCCACTTAAAATTATTATTTTATTAATTTTAATTTTTGGACACCCTGTATAAGACGGCAAGTTTATTATGAATGGTATATAAAATATGATCTATTGCTACACTTCAATGTAAATTTCGCTTACATACCTGATATACTTCTTAAGTATTTGAAACAAGAAAATTAGGTTACATTTCGATAAAATTTAATTTATTTAAAAAAACCTTAAGGTTTAGATATTATAAAAAACAGACACTTATTTTGATCGGAGAATCCAAAAATGCAATAATACATAGGGGATTCCATTTAAAAAAACACAACTTTGATACTTTTAGGACATACATAGTAAACCCCCATATATCCCAAAAGATAAACTTTTTGAAAGCCTCGTATTTGGCCATAATACTCCTTGCCGTATAGCGTGAATAACTCTGTACAAGATGATACAAGTCTTTAATTAAATTGATATATTCTGCATTTTAACCTTAGCCAGGAATATCTTACCGACCCTTGTTCTCGTGCAAGGCTCTGTGAGTGCGGTCTCGTTATAAGAACCCCTAAGGCCATCCTGATGTTGATTTCAGCTATTGCTGTTGATTCTACGGCCGTTACGGATGAATCCGCTCCAAAGGGAGTAGTGGTCTTTTGAGACGATCTGTAGTGACCTTTGCATCTGGTCGCATCCCAATGCTTCCTAACATTTTGGTATTCTTCACTGTCAGCATCTTCAGTGTAACTCCGTTAAAGCTTTTTTTGGTTGGAAGCGTAGTCAAAATAATTGGAGTACTTAACCATAGCTGTGGTTTCAAGTACTTTTAACCATATGTTTCAAGCATTAAAAAGACTTCGAACAGTTTTTGAAGTCATTTTTAAAAATAGAGAATTTGAAGCCCCCTTCTTTGTGTTTGAAAATCTATCAAAGGCCTTGAAGTCAAGTATTTGCCAAAATACATCATTTAAGTGCATACTACCAAATATAGTCTGTTTCCGACAGAAGCGCTATTAAAGGACTTTTTTGTCAATTAAGCATAGTTAATTAAAGTGAAGTAGTATAATATGTATTTTCAAAAGTACTTAACCTGAGGCTTCAAGTACTAAAAATAGTTTTTAAGGCCCAATTTTTAAAACGACTCTATTTTGTGCTAACTAGAAAGCTTAATTTTTTTATTGCATATAACTAACGTATTTCGTTCTTTTTCAGACAGTTTTTGCTCAAATGAACCCATAACCAAAGAAACTCCCCGTACTGTTCAAACTTCAAAATATGGATCGCAGCCTGCCTATCCAGCGCGGAAGGCCCGTATCTGGGCTGGAAGCCGCCCATGCCAACGAATACTTCGAACAATTTCTGAACGCCAGCAGCTTGAAACATATATTGGGTTACTACAGGGGCCTGATCGATTACCTTCATCTCAAACCAAATGCTTTCCAATCGTTCTACCCGAAACTGAGAGCCAATCTGACTTCGTGGAAGGCGAAGGCACTCTGGAAGAAATTCGACGCCAGGGCCACGCACAAGTGCTACTTGAAAGGCAAGGCAGCAACGAACACCAAGGTTCTGATTATCGGTGGCGGGCCCTGTGGTATGAGGACTGCCATCGAGGCGCAGTTACTGGGTGCTAAAGTGGTATGTACGATTAAATAATTTTTTTTACTGGTAGTATTCCAGAAAATAACTACTCTGTGGGCTCATGCCCAACCAGCATTTAATGACAGCAACAGTATCTAGGATCATTTGTCATTCAAATCCACCAGATATATACTGGTTTTCGGCTTATTAGGACAGTAGGTAGAATAACTGAAAAGTGTTCCAGAGTGTTAGAACAGAATATTTTAAATTATTCATACAGGGTGTCTACGAAAGTTTGGGAAATCTGGAAGCTGGAGATACTGACGGCCAAAATAAGTTAATTGAGCCAGATTTGCCTTATGCAAATATTGCTGGTTTCAAAGGCGTTCAGTGTTTGAATATTATTTGGAAATTTCACAATAATTTTGAAAACTATGAACAAAAAATTGGCACTATTATGTTTTTTGACATGAAAAATAAGAATTTTTAACTAGTAAATTTTTTTTGCATTTAGAATTACGGACATTGTGTATTGAAAATATGAATGAATGGCCTTTGTTTCATAAAAAAGTTACTCTTGTTTGTTTTCGATATCTCCTTTGGTTATCGAGATATTTGCATATACAAATTTCAATGCATTTCGTTTATAAGCAACTTTTAATATTTAAATTAAACTAATGCGACTTGACAACTAGTGTATGAACCAAATTATTTACAGTTTTCTAAAAAACAACTTAAAGGGAAAGTAAAAATTGTTCAAATCCTTTGAATACCTATTATTTTTTATTTTCTGACTATGGTGGAAAATTTAATTTATCTAAGGAATAAACGTTGATCTGATCCATTAAAACAGCATGATGCGATGTACTACTAGAACCTGGAGTTGAAGTGTCATTGTAAAGAATCTTGTTGGCTATTTCATTTTTGTTAGTTAAACTGTCAGCAACATAACTTTCTGCAGTTGTGGCTGATTTCCACCCACCATGTCTCTTGATTTCTAATATATCAACTCCTGTATTAACCAGTAACGTTGCCGATGTTCTTCGGAATGAATGGCCTGTATATGTTTCAGGATGTTCTAGTTTCAAAAACTGTACAATCTTATTAGGAATCATAGAAAGGGTATTCTTGCCGACTTGCTTCTTGCTTGAAACCATATAAAAAATAGTGAAATTTCAGTTTTATTTTCCAATCTAATCTTGATATATTTCTTGAGAAATAGAATTCAGACGAGAAGTAATTGTAAACGTACGTGACATACCGTTTTTAGAATCTGGAATTGTAACTACAATAATGTCTTCGAAATTTTTGAAACTGACGTCCAAAGTAAAGAGTGACCGCAAAAACAGCATATTTTTAACCTATTTCCTCACCAGATACTTCCAGATACCTTAAAAAAAAATCTTAAAAATATTATGCATATGTCAAATTATTGGTAATGAATAATCAAGATGAGCATATTTTCTAGTTTTTCAAAAAATGTCGAATATCACCCCTAATTAGTATCAATAAGAATAAAAGGCAATTCTTATTGTATTTTTTCTATAAAATAAAATCTTACAAATAGGAAATAATTTATTTTCATGATTAATGAGGGCGTGATATAGTTGTAAGTCCACCCTTAAATTCGCTAAGGGGCTTAAATCATCCCCTAAATATGGAAAAAAATCAAAAATTACTTGAAAAATCTAGGAAAAAGAACTATTATATTCTAAATTATTAGAAATTCAAATCGTGTACTTCTCACTAGTATCTATAAGAAAACCACCCCTGTAACGAAGGGGTGAACTACCTCCGAACGAAAATATCATAGCGATGTAAAAAAACTGTCCAATATTTTATAATAGATCTTACTTTCCTGATCAGAAAGATTAAGCCGACTTGACCTAATTATTCCAAAAATTTTTTTATAAAAATCAACCCTCATAGGGGTGAAATCATCCCCTAAACATAAAAAAATCAAAAAGTATTTGAAAAATCTTGATTTTTTTTATAAATTGCTTTTATTCTTATTGATATTATTCATACATTTCAGTTTTGCGTCATCATATCAACCCCTAATTAAGGGTGATTTTCGACATTTTTCGAAAAACTAAAAAATATGCCCATCTTGATTTTTCATTACCAATAATTTGTCATATGCAGAGTATTTTTAGGATTTTTTAGGTGAGAAAATAGGCTAACTTTGCGGTCACTCTTTGCATAACTCATCAAAACGGCATGCTCCTGCAATGCCTAAGAACGTCATTACCTTCATTAGCAAATATATGTTATCGGGTGCCTGAACCAGAAAATCGATGATCGTTCTCTTGTAAAAACGTTTGATGTTTTAGGTGTATAACTGTCATTCTTACGTTTCAAAACTGCTCTCAGCTTGGACTATTTTGATATATTCACGTTCTCCGCTTGAAAATAGTTGACTTAATCAGTAAGTATTCACTCCACCAACTCGCTGGTGACTTTAAAGTTCTTGACTTCTCCATGAAATATGCTAGCAGTGACATTTCAGAAACACCAGTATTCTTGGTCTGGCATCATTCTTTGAAATTTCTATATGCTCGTCCGAGGCGCATTTTCAATAAAAATTCGCAGGCAGCATTTGCTGCACTTTCCATTTGAAAATCACTTATTTAGAAATAATAATTCAAAACCAGCAAAATTGCAACTTTTATGTAGTTTTACATCTTAGAAGCGACAAAATCCAAACAACCAAGGCGACTCTGCAAGATTTCGAATAATGTCAAAATGAATTGATTAAGAAATGTCAAAAAATAAAACCTAATCTTTATTTCGTGAACCATAAAGGACTGTCGGAGCAGATAAAATGTTATACACTGCGCAGCAGTTAAGTATAATTTACCAGTCTCGGACTCTATCATCCTCAACTGGTGAAAAATACTTACCTCGTTTATGGTGTAAATAACTATTGTTCATACTCTGACAATTTTCAAAATTATTGAGAAATATGAGAATAAAATTCAAACATTAAATGCCTTGTAGCTTTGAAACCAGCAGCATTTGCATAAGGCATATTTGGCTTCGAGATTTTCTAACTTTTCACAGACACCCAGAGAGGATATCAAGTTCATATGTTTAGGAAATATTTTCCAAAAATTCGCTATTTCTCGACATCGATTTTATAATTTTCCAAATTTATTTTAAAAATACTACATGAAATAGTTTTAAGGCCATTCTTTCAATTCAAATATGAAATTAGATTTTGCAGTGTATACGACTGATGAAATTTTCAATGTATTGTTTGTTAACTTTTTATCAATTTTGAAAATTTCTGATGAAAACTAATCGGTGAAATTTTAAGATGTCCACCAAATTGTCCATATTTGTCAAAGATTTACCAGACGCTTGCTATTAAAAACAATATTAGTCCAACCAAATTACACTTGGAGAAAAAAAAATTGTTACCTGGACTTTTATAAGTGGAAATAGTAAAAGGGCTTATAATAAACCTAAAAAAAATAAATGCGTGAGCAGGGGCGGCGGAGGGTAGATTTGGGGGGTTGAAAAGTTATGAAAAATTGTATAATTGGGATTTCTGGCGAAAGTTGACGTCACACAAAAAAGTATCCAATACAAAATTTGTAGATCATACAAAAATCCATAACTTTTGTAGAGGTCACTTTTTAACATAACCTCAAAATTTCCGAGAAAAATGCGAAAAACAGGTTTTTTTCTGATTTTTCGTTTTTTATTTCTTATTTCCGCAAAAATAATTTAATTTTGACGAAACTTGGTGAAAGTATACCTTTCTCTGTCTTAAATAACCTCAAATTTTTTTAGATAGAAAAAAATTTGAGGTTATTTAATTATATTAATTTTAAAAAATTCTACTTAAAAAATCATCGTACAGGGTTCTGCCGGTAATTATTTTTTTCGTTTTGACATATACTTTTTGGTGAAATAAAAAAATTTGTAATCACAGTTCAAAAACATGCTCAAAAATGCAAAAAATTTAAAAATGAGCAATGAATTTTTCAGTAATTGTTGATAATTTGTTTAAATTAAAAAACATTCAAAAACTGATTACACCATTCAATTCTATGGAAAAAATAAAAAAGCTGTGTCTCATTGTTTGACCCAAAAATTTATTTTTGTACAGTATTGCTATAAACAAGTCGAATTACAAATGCACAAAATGATAAATTATCTCTGGATGATTTGAGATTTCAGCAATACAAAGTATTAACTGCAAAGTCTACTGTTGACGCGAAATCCGAAAACCCGAGATTTTGCAAAATAGTTTTATTTTTTTTTGGCTTTATTTGAAAACGAATTTTAAATAAATTGCATATTTACATTGTCACTTTTTTCGCTCTATCCAATGGCGTCAACATTTTTGCAATCCGACGTTTTGCCTTCGAGGGGCCATCATCAGATTAATTTTTTTAAATATATCGCTGCTATTTTTATGACAAAAATCTAGTCATTTTTAATTCTGTATTAGATGATATTACTATTGTAATCGCTTAAAAAGGTTTCTAGCTATCATTAAAAATTTTTCCTCAGTACGGCTCTGAACGCTTTCAAAATATCTGTTGAAGGAGGAGAGAGAGGGGGGAGGGGGTAGAGAGAGAGAGAGAGGGTGAGAGAGGGGGAGAGAGGGGGAGAGAGGGAGAGGGAGAGAATAAAAGTCAATACAGCACAAAATGTCCAACAATTTTTTTTAATCCATAATTTAAAGAGTTGTACCTAATAAAAAAATAATACGAATTTATGAAATATTTTTTTATTTCTAATTAGTATTGCTAACAGTAAAAAATTATTGGATATTTTGTGCGGTATTGACTTGTATACTGTTATGATTTCATCCAATAGATATTTTGAAAGCGTTCAGTTAAATTATAGCTAAAACAAGCTAAAAGCTTTTTATTATTATAATAGTAATATCGTCTAATTCAGAATTAAAAATTACCTACTTTAGTTTTTGTCATAAAAATAGCAGCGACTTATTTAAAAAAAAATAACCCGATGATGGCCCCTCGAAGATGAAACGTCGGATTGCAAAAATGTTGACGCTATTGTATAGAGCGAAAAAAGTGGCATTGTAAATATGTAATTTATTTTAAAATTCGTTTTCAAATAAAGCCAGAAAAAATTAAACAATTTTGCAAAATTTCGGGTTTTTCCGGATATCTCCGGAACTACCCGGAATTTTAAAACTTTCTAAACAGCATATTGTTAGGTATAAAAAATAACAACTTTTTTCTAATCTGAGCCACCCCATATCTCTTACTGTTTCCTAGATCCTAATGCTATCCCATCCTTATCTTGGACACACTGTATATTTACGAATTCATCAAACTTTAAAAAAAATAAGGACACTAATCGATCCTACGGAAAAAAAATATATAATTTATTTTATTTATTCACTATTCGACTTATGTTTATAGCAATACCGTACAAAAATAGTTTTGGGTCAAAAAATGAAACAGTTTTTTTTTGTATTTTTTCCGTACAATTGAATGGTGTAATCAGTTTTTATATATTTTTTTAAATTTAAACAAATTATCAACAATTACTGAAAAATTCATTGCTGCAAGTCATTTTTTAATTTTTTACATTTTTGAGCATGTTTTTGAATTGTGATTACAAATTTTTTTATTTCACCAGAAAGTATATGTCAAAACGAAAAAAATGATTACCGACAGAACTCTGAACGATGATTTTTTTAAGTAGAATTTTTCTTTGAAAAAAAGTGTTTCAGGCCGAAAAAAATGAATATCTCAGAAACTTCTTGATTTTTTTATCTAAAAAAATTGGACGTTATTTAAGACAGAGAAAGGTATACTTTCACCAAGTTTCGTCAAAATTAAATTATTTTTGCGGAAATGAGAAATAAAAAACGAAAAATCAGAAAAAAAACTATTTGTTGCATTTTTCTCGGAAATTTTCAGGTTATGTTAAAAAATGCCCTCTACAAAAGTTGTAGATTTTTGCATGATCTACAACTTTTGTATTAGATACTTTTTTGTTTGACGTTAACTTTCGCCAAAAATCCCAATAATACAATTTTTCATAAATTTTCAACCCCCCAAAACAACCCTCCGCCACCCCTGCTCACGCATTTATTTTTTTTTCGTTTATTATAAGCCCCTTTACCATTTCCACTTATGAAAGTCCAGGTAACAATTTTCTTTTTTTTCCCTCTAAATGAGTTATTTTGATCGGTCTATATTTTTTATACTTTTTTAGGTAGTAATAGAAAAGCGAGACAGATTTTCCAGGAACAATGTGCTGCATTTATGGCCTTTTGTCATTGAAGACCTACGAATGCTGGGGGCAAAGAAATTTTTTGGAAAATTCTGCGCAGGAGCCATCGATCACATTAGTATCAGACGGCTGCAGTGTATCCTGTTAAAAGTAGCTTTATTACTCGGTGTAGAAGTTCACACAGAAGTTAGTTTCGAAAAACTTATAGAACCCAATGCAACTGAAAGTACGTAAAGGGTAAGATTAAGTGCCGAACTCGAACTTGTAATATTTTATTTCAGAGACTGGTTGGAGGGCTGAAGTTAAACCGTCAGACCATCCTGTTTCTCAGTATGAATTTGATGTGATAATCGGAGCCGATGGCAAAAGAAACACTTTACAAGGTTTCACAAGGAAGGAATTTAGAGGCAAGCTAGCTATAGCCATTACTGCCAATTTCATTAATAAAAAAACTGAGGCCGAGGCTCGCGTCGAGGAAATTAGTGGGGTAGCTTTTATATTTAATCAGAAGTTTTTTAAGGATTTACTGGAAGTCACTCGAATTGATTTAGAGAATATAGTTTATTACAAGGATGACACTCATTACTTCGTAATGACTGCTAAGAAAGCTAGTTTAATAGAAAAAGGTGTCATTAAGCAGGTACGTCGTTTAATTTAAGCGTAGTCGAATTTTAACGGTGATTATAAATTTTATTTCAGGACTTGGCAGATACCGAGAAATTATTGGCTCCTGAAAATGTAGATAGAGAGGCCTTAGAGGCGTATGCAATTGAAGCTGCTAATTTTAGTACGAATTATCAGATGCCCGACCTAGAATTTGCGGTGAATCATTACGGGCAACCGGACATCGCTATGTTCGATTTCACTTCCATGTTTGCGGCGGACAACGCTTCAAAAGTAGTCGAACGCAACGGTTACCGATTACTTATGATTCTAGTAGGAGATAGTTTGTTAGAGCCATTTTGGCCAACCGGTTCCGGTTGCGCTAGAGGTTTCCTCTCCTCCTTAGACGCGGCTTGGGCTATACGAAGTTGGTCCCTCGGTACCCTCACGCCGTTAGATGTTTTAGCCGAACGGGAGTCCATTTATAGACTCCTCGCACAAACGACCCCCGACAACCTGAATAAAGATTGGAAATCTTACAGCCTCGAGCCCTCCACGAGATATCCGAATCTTAATAAAGCGGTTATTATGCCCCATCAAACGGTTGGACTTTACGACACCGACAATCCCGCCAGTATCGATAGGATGAAACGAAATGCTCAGGAGAGGCCGAACGAAGTACCTAAGAAGAGGAGACGAGGTATAAGTCGAATTTTTCTTGATCGAGTTCTTTTTTGAAAGTTATATTTTATAATCCGGGCGAATTAGGTTTTTTTTCAAAAATCAGGCCTAACTCGAATTTTATGGGCTTAAAATTAAGTAAATACACAGATTAAAAGCTTAAATTTGTGTATTTGTAGACGTCGAGCGTCATATTGTTTATGACAAAAGAAAAAAAATTATTGCTCTTTTTCAGATTTTCGCTTATACAAAAGTCCCGGTACGGCAGAAAAACTTTTGAAGAAAGCATTTTGGGAAAAAATGTTTCAGACAAAAGTGTAAGGATTTTTCCCCAGCTATCTGATGATGACCTTGGATTTGACCTTGACTTTGACCTTCAAGGTCATTTGAAGGTCGAGTTAAGCTTTCTAAATGGGAACCCCTACTTTTTATTGCGAATTTGGAAAGAGCAGGAAATTTTACGTCCAACGATGGTCTTGACCGTGACTTTGACAATGACCGTCAAGGTCATTCCAAGGTCAAAGTTGTTTTTTCATTGGTAACCCCTATTTTTTATTACGAATTTGGAGAGCTGAAATTTAACCCTCAAGTGCGATCTTGACGACGACTTTGACAATGACCTTCAGGATCATGTCAAAGTCAGGTTAATTTGACCTTGAAAATCATGGTCATGGTCATAGTTACACGTAAAATTTCCTGCCCTTTCCATATCCGCAATAAAAAATAGGGGTTCCTATTTAAAAAAAATGAACTTGACCTTCAAATGACCTTGAAGGTTAAAGTCAAGGTCAAACCCAAGGTCACCATCAGATAGCCAGGGAAAAATCCTTACACTTTTGTCTGCAACATTTTTTCCCAAAATGCATTCTTCGAAAGTTCTGCAGTACCCGGATGTTTGGAAGTCCACCCACTTTTGACCTTGAAGGTCATTGTCAAAGTCATGGTCAAGCCCATCGTTGGACGTAAAATTTCCTGCTCTTCAAATCCGCAATAAATAATAGGGGTTTCCATGTAAAAAAACTAACTTGACCTTCAAATGACCTTGAAGTTCAAAGTCAAGGTCAAATCCAAGGTCACCAGGGAAAAATCCTTACACGTTTATCTGACACATTTTTTTCCAAAATGCTTTGAAAGTTTTTCTGCCGTACCAGGAGTTTTGGATAACCCTGTATCTCCGAAAATAAGCCTCTAATCAACATGAAGTATTCTTATCGATTTTCTTACTGAGGAAATTTGCTACAAAGATAGGCTTTTGCAAAAGCTCGCACAAATTTTTTTACATTGCAAAATTAGCAGTGAAAAAAAATGTGCAAAATTTTCAGAATTAAATAAAAAGAACAAATTTGACTGAAATTGGATGAAACTACAGGAAAAGATAACCGTTGGAGTATGATGGCGGCCTATTGCAAAATTATAGTCGAAAACGCGAGCGCGTATATTTGTTGCCCAAGTCAAGATATCGAAATTTTGTAGAAAAGGTTCGAAAAGTAATTACTCTCTCGTCTGTGCAAATTTTTATTTTTAAGTTGCAAAATAAAAAAGTTATTAACAAAAACCAAACAAAAAAACGGTAACTAGGGTCCTTATCTCGGCAATATTTTAATATACAGATTTCAAACCAATTGTATCAAATAGTGCTTAAAAAACATTAATTAAGAAAAAAAAAGCGTCTCGATCCGACCAATAGGAGCGAGATAATTTTTTTTTCTTTAAACAGTATTTTGGCTGTTCTATTTAATATTTTGGAATAAACTTGGTCTTGTTGTAAAGTACAAGGTGTCCCATAATGGTTTGCTGTTTTTAAACTGAAATAGAACAAATCGTCCCTATTATCACGTAGAGGCGTATGTGTATATCCATTTCTTGGATTATACGCCCCTACGTGATAAGAGGGATGAAATGTTTGTGCCTACAAAATATTTAATTTACTGTGAAAATGTTAACAATGAACGCGGAATTTTTTTTCTTAAAAATAATGTTTTCAAGATGTCTTCCTTCCCGTGCCACACATTCTTGAAGTCTGGATCTTAAATTGTCATATACAGCTCGTATCATTTCCTCTGGAATAGCGTTTATTTCAGCCTGAATTTGCAATTTTAAATCCCTCAGACTGCGTGGTGCTGTCTCATACACCTTGGATTTTATCTAGCCCCACAAAAAAAAGTCCAGGGGAGTCGGGTCTGCTGTCTCGTACACCTTGGATTTTAAATAGCCCCACAAAGAAAAGTCCAGGGGAGTCAGGTCCCTGTGAAATGAGTTTTTCCGGAAAAATGTCTCGTAGCGTTGCCAAAGATCTTCTGGCGTTGTAAGCTGTGGCCCCATCTTGCTGAAACCAGGTATTGGCATCAAACCCTACGAATTCTTGAAGCGCTGGTCGGAAAAAGTCTTAGGATTCTCATCGTCCCAAAAGCGTTGTTTACTGCCCCATTTAAATCGAAATGGGCCTCGTCGCTAAACAAGACATTATCGATTAAGTCATTATCGAAGAAACCATCAATTATTGTTTCTGCAAAATTACACCGTATTTCGTAGTCCTCTGGCTTTAAAGCGTGCACAATTTGAATTTTATACGGATGAAATTTCAGTTCCTTTGACAATATTTGATGCGCAGATGATTTAGAGAAACGCAACGCTTGTGCATGTTTTCTTAGCAATCTGCATGGATTTTGTCTGGTTGCCAACCAAACAGTACCGTCGTTCTCAGGTGTGTTTACAGACCGAGGACGGCTCGAGGGCTTCTTGTTTACACACAAACCTGCGACTCGGCGAATCGGCCACACGGCGAATATTCAAATGATTGCAAAACAGGCGTCGTGCCGCCACGTACGATTCTTGTTTTTTGAAATAAAGCTCTAAACTTCCTTAACTGCACTAAACTGCGACTCGGCGAATCGGCCACACTGCGAATATTCAAACGATTGCAAAACAGGTGTCGTGCCGCCACGTACGATTCTTGTTTTTTCAAATAAAGCTCTACGAAGAGCGCACGAGGTTCTCCCGTCCACCTCTCCATTCTTACTATATCATCCGCAACCTTCCTCGACTTGGCAAATACAGAGTCGTGGCGCTATTTTACAGTGTTGCCAAATTAGCATTCTCTAAAAACAGCAAAACATTATGGGAGACCTTGTAGAAAACTTCCTTTATACACTGAATTTTTTTTTAATGGATTCAACCAAGAAGTGACCAAGTTCATTAAAGACAGCGTGATCTGCGTGGCTGAGCGGTAGTCAGGAGAGGGGAGCCCTGTGACGTCATAGTGCCCATGCTGCGCTCGACTTCTCAAAATTCTTACATAACAAATGGATTGTGGCACTTAGAAAGCAACTACCGGGATGCTTTTTATTAAATCAAATCATTTTTTTTTTTCAAATGGTGTAAGTAAAAGTCTGTGAGAGTCATCGTCAGATCCAGAAAAATACATTTTTTATTGACTTCTCATCTTTTCTTTTGTAATTTCATTGCGCTTTCGATATTTTGAAAAGTAAGGAGGTCTTTTTACGTATTTAAAAACAAAAGTATTATTTTTTTGAAAAAAAATGAACGAATGAAAATTTACCGTGCTCAGAAGAGGTCGATGTATAAAATATCGTCTCAAAATTTTGCCACATTCAAGTTACATGCTGTACAACATAAAGCATTAACTTGAAAAATTCATCGATGTCTAAAATATATTACACATTAAATATTTATTTATTACTTTTAATATTTTTATAAAAATTAAAAACTTTCTCTAGCAATACAATTCATTAAATAAAAAATGGTAGAATTAAATGTAACGGTTCTTTTAAATACTATAAAATGCAGTACTTAAGTAATGTTGATATTGTAACATTCAATAATAGTCTCGACACAATTACGCAATAAGTGTAACAGTTAATTTTGAGACGATATTTTATACATGGACCTCTTTTGAGCACGGTAAATTTTCATTCATTCATTTTTTTTTTATTTCAGAGAAATAATTTACTTGTTTTTAAATACGTAAAAAGACCTTACTTTTCAAAATATCGAAAGCACAATGAAATTACAAAAGAAAACGTGAAAAGTCAATAAAAATGTATATTTCGGGATCTGGCGATGACTGTCACAGACTTCTGCTTAGACCACTCGAAAGAGCGGAAAAAAATAAGTTGATTTAAAAAAGAAGCATCCCGGTAGCTGCTATCTAAGTGCTACGATCCATTTGTTAAGTAAGAATTTTGAGAAGTCGAGAGCAGCATAGGCACTATGACGTCACAGCGCTCCCCTCTCCTGGCTACGCTGTCTTTAACGAACGTTTACTTGGTCACTTCTTCGTCGAATCCATTAAAAAAAAATTCAGCGTATAAAGGAAGTTTTCTACTTTACAACGAGATCAAGTATATTCCAAAATATTAAATAAAACAGCCAAAATACTGTTTAAAGAAAAAAAATTATCTCGGCTCCTATTGGTCGGATTGAGACGCTTTTTATTCTTAATTTATGATTTTTTTAGCACTATTTGATGCAATTGGTTTGAAATCTGTATATTAAAAAATTGGCGAGATAAGGACCCTAGGTACCGTTTTTTTTTTGATTTTTTGTTAATAACTTTTATTTTTCATCTTAAAAATCTGAAATTTGCACAGACGCGAGACAATGTAATTACCTTTCGAACCTTTTCTACAAAACTACAAAATTTCAATATCTTGACTTGGGCAGAAAATATACGCGCTCGCGTTTTCGACTTTATAATTTTGCAATAGGCCGCCATTTTGGAATTTGGGGTGCAAATTGCGGGTATTTGTTGAGCACCCCAACGGTTATCTTTTCCTGTAGTTTCATCCAATTTCAGTCAAATTTGTTCTTATTATTTAATCCTCAAAATTTTGCACATTTTTCACTGCCAATTTTACAATGTAAAAAAATTTGTGCGAGCTTTGACAAAAGCCTATCTTTGTAGCAAATTTCCTCAGGAAGAAAATCGATAAGAATACCTCATGTCGATTAGAAGCTTATTTTCAGAGATATAAGCAAAAAACTGAAAAAAGAGCAATAATTTTTTTTTCTTTTGTAATAAACAATATGACGCTCGACCTCTACAAATACACAAATTTAGGCTTTTGTTCTGTGTATTTTTTACTTAATTTTAAGCCCATAAAATTCGAGTTAGGCCTGATTTTTTAAACAGCCATGGGTTTGGTCTAATCCGCCATTATGCGGATTATTATTATTATTATGCCACAGTGTCTTAAAAAAGTCTCTCCTTGTTTTTAGGAAATGTCGATAACGAGGTACTACTTAATTGGATCTCAGAACAATTACGCAATCACGAAGATATTACCGTAACTGATATTGGCTCAATATTCAAGGACGGGAAAATATTATGTGCAATAATACATCACTATAGGCCGGACTTGTTAGATTACAATACGATTAAAGATGAAGATCCCGCCAAAAATAATCAGCTGGCTTTTGACATACTCGAAAAAGAATTAGGTAATGCCTTTAAGAATAATATTCTTCCGTAAGTTATGAAAAGTGTAATTGTATCTTTCAGGAATACCTCCAATTATGACGGGTGAAGAAATTACCAATACGGAGGACTTTTTGACCATGGCTACATATTTGACTCAAGTATATGACACTTTCAGAGGTGAAATTCCTCACATCAAGCAGCCAAAACTGGTGAGTAAATTTTAATAAACATAAATATTTATTGATTTCGAAATCACGTACGGGGTGGTCCAATTTCGATACAGTGGGGGGAGGGGCCTTTTTTGTGTTAATATTACTTACATTATTTGAAAGTTTAAAAAATTTAAAAATTAAAAAAAATATACAGGGTGCTTCGCATAAGAATCGACACAGAGCAGGGGCATGTAGAGGAACCCAAAATATGGTGATTTAGCGCAACTTATATTTATACTTAGAAAGCAGCTACCAGAATGCTTTTTTTTAATCAACTTATTTTTTTCCGCTCTTTGGAATAGTGTAAGCAAAAATCTGGGGAAGTCGTCGCCAGATCCCGAAAAATAAATATTTATTGACTTCACGTTTCCTTTTGTAATTTCATTGTGCTTTCGACATTTTGACAAGTAAGAAGGTCTTTGTACGTATTTAAAAACAAAAGTCAATTATTTCTTTAAAAAAAAATGATGAATGAAATTTATCGTGCTCAGAAGAGGTCGACGTATAAAATATCGTCTTAAAATTAACTGTTACAGTTATTGCGTAAATTGTGTCTAGAATATTATTGAATGTCACAATCAGGGCCGTTCCTGGGCAGTGTGCTGGTGGTGCCCCGGCACCAGGGCGGACAAAATTCATCTTTTCTGTCCTGGTCTTCCCCAGATTCTTAACTAAAAATATTTAAACAATAGCAGCAAGGACTGCAAAAGATAAAATGTATATTAATTTTCGTCTTATAAATAATGTAGTTTTAAATACACTGTTTTAAAATACACTTTTTTTATACACTAATGCAAAAAATTATCGTATCGGGAATTAAAAAAAGCATTTTGAAGCTCTAAGATTCTAGTTTTTGAGATAATTCGGTTGAAACATTTTTTCCCATTTTAATCATATTATGAAGTGTTTAAGCTCAAAAAATGTGACCCTTTAATTTTTTCAAAAGTTTGACTGTTTGAAACAAGGAAACGGGTCGCTAAATCGAGATGAAAGTTCACAGGGATCTTCTGGGTATATCGAATGGTAAAAGTCATGCTTAACATTAGTCATTTCCTGAATATTTCTAATTTAGCCGTCAATTTTCTAAAAAACCATAAATTACCCTTTTTTTCCTATTTTTTTAAATTTGTGTAAATGATGAAAAAATATTTTTTCCGAAAAGTTGTGGCAGCATGTTATAGGAAATATATTCCAGTTTTCGAAACTGCCCTTCAATTCTCTGTACGACCATTTGTCGCCGAGATATCGATGATTGAAGACAAAAGGATCCTTTTCCATTAAAAGTATGATATTTCGACGAAAAATGGTCATATCGAAATTTAAAAAAAAAAGGAAATTGAAGCTGAATAAACTAGCTATCTGGTCCATGGCTTAGCTGAAAAAAAATTTTCCAAGTCCGTGGACTGGAAAAAAAAAGAAAATTTGCAAAATTTTTTTGTCTATTTCTTATAATTGCATGACAACCGTAGCATCTAAAAAATTTTGACCGAAAGATCTAAAAACTAGAATCTTGGAGCTTCAAAATGCTATTTCTTAATTCCTGATAAGACCATGTTTTACCTAAATACAGTCCGCCAAAAATCACTGAAAAATTTCGGAAATTCGTTTGACCCTTTAATTTTTTGCATTAGTTTAAAAAACATGTAAAATTACGGATGTTTTAAAAATGCCTTTCTTAAACATTTGCGAACAAGTGAACGCCTAATTATTAAACACAGGACTCGAGCGAAACGAATGCTGAGTGCTAAGATTACAATATTATTAATTATTACCTACTTATCGTCAGATTTACGACGTTTAGACAGCTCAAAATTTTTATATTCTATATTTTGTGAATAGCTCTCATACTAGTCGTAGTACGAAGTTCCTGTTTTCCAATGAGTTACCATATTAGTTTTAGAGCTTTTGATTATTATTTTTGTTATGACTAGATTATACAGGGTGTTAAAAAAAGAGTGTAAAATATTTCAGGAGGTAATAGTATGAACCAAAATAAGCAGAAAAGTCGCAATAAACATGGGTCCGCAAAGTAACGGTTGCGGAGATATGGACCACTATTAGTTTTTCAAACATTTATTTTATTAGGAATAAACTGACAAAGGAAGCTTTTAACAAACAAAAAACAAAGTTACAGAAGATGTTCAAAGTGCCCTCCGTCCATTTCCAAGCAGGCACGACATTTTCGTCTCAACGATATTCGAACTCTTTCGAAAACACCCTCCTTGGTTTGGATTTCTTGACACTTTTGATTAATCCGTAGCTGTAGATCTTCCAGGCTATTTACAGGAGTACCATACACTAATGTCTTCAAATATCCCCAAATAAACAAATCTAGAGGGTTCAGATCAGGCGATCTTGGCGGCCATAAAACAGGTCCGGCCCTTCCTACCCATCTATGTGAAAAAGTTTGGTGTAAATGCTCTCTGGCCATGGAAAAATGAGCTGGAGCACCATCATGCTGGAACCACATTTGTTGCCTCTGATTCAAAGGAATGTCTTCCAAAAACTCATACAGTGTTTTATGCAGAAAGTTGAGATAAGCAGCGCCTGTTAATCGGTTTGGTAAATCAACAGGACCTAGAAACCTGTCACCTACAATACCCATCCAAAAGTTTAATGAAAAATGTGCCTGATGTCCAGATTCTATTAGAGCATGAGGATTTTCGTCGGCCCAAATATGCGTATTGTGAAAATTAAACACTCCATTTCTTGTGAACCCGGCCTCATCAGTAAAAAGAATGTTTGCAAGAAAACGAGGGTCTTCAGCATCATGACGTAGAAACCAGCGACAAAAAACCAAATGTGCTTGATGATCATTTATTGGATTTAAGGCCTGTACTCGTTGCACATGGTATGGTAAAGCAGTTGCTCGTGAAGGATTCTCCAAAAAAGAGGACCACTAATTCCTACCTCGGCTGATGTTCTCCACACACTCGTACCTGGATTCTGCTCTACCAGTGCTAGAATTTCTTCTTCTGCTCTAGGAGTGAATACCGACCTTGGTCTTCCGGATAAATGGCACTGTTTGCTCAAGGAACCGGTATCACGCAATCTTTGGTGAATTCTTCCAAACATGTGTTGTGAAGGAATCTGGCGATTTGGATAAGCGTCAACATAAGGACGTCGCTTCCCATTAGTACGACCATACATGAAATGCATATCTGTTAATTCTACGTTAGAGTAACCAGCCATAGCGAAAGAGCACTGAGAACAACTGTCAAATACGTACTGTTTATTACACTAAATATCAACCAACTATTATAAGAAAATACACAAAATAAAAAAAGGGGCTAAAAAACATAAAACATTCCATATCTCCGCAACCGTTACTTAGCAGACCCATGTTTATTGAGACTTTTCTGCTTATTTTGGTTCATACTATTACCTCCTTAAATATTTTACACTCTTTTTTTAACACCCTGTATTTTACAGTAGAATATTAAAGTTTGTTAGTGCAAAAATAAATTGATCTGTATTTCTAATAACACACCTCCATCATAGTCATTTCTAATCCCTGATATTAATAATGTCATAATGATGTGATAGATACATACTACGGGGTAGGGCCGGCCAATTTTTCTATACACCAGGGTGGCAAGTACCCCAGGATCGGCCCTGGTTACAATATCAACATTACATTTAAGTACTGCATTTTATAGTATTTAAAAGAACTGTTACATTCAATTCTACCATATTTTATTTAATTAATTGTATTATAAAGTTGTCTTTTATAATTTTTATAAGAATATTAAAATTAAAATAAATATTTAATGTATAATATCTATGTTTTAGACTTCGATGAATTTTTCAAATTAATTGTTTACGTTGTATAGTACGTGATTTGAATGTGGCAAAATAGCAAAATTCATTGAAGTCTAAACATAGATATTATACATTAAATATTTATTTTAATTTTAATATTCTTATGTAAAAATTAAAAAAAAAACTATAATACAATTAATTAAATAAAATGTAGAATTGAATGTAACAGTTCTTTTAAATACTATAAAATGCAGTACTTAAGTGTAATGTTGATATTGTAACATTCAATAATATTCTAGGCACAATTTACGCAATAACAGTTAATTTTAAGACAATATTTTATACATCGCACAGTGGGAAATATTGGACAAAATTCTCGCTACACGCCAATTTTCATCATCTAGTCGTGATTTTTTTTTTAATAATCTTGTGGTAATCTGAATTTTCATATTCCGGTAAGGTTTTTTCGAAAAACCCTTTTTTTTAATGCTTAGGGAGCGCCCCAATCTCAATGTCGAAGAAAAAATTTTTAAATACTCGATGTTCAGTTGTAGAAAAAAATGTTTAAAAGTATCTGCTATTAATAAAATTGATTATTATGACCCTTGATGATATATCTGATGTTTTTTCTTTAAAAACCTAACCTCAAAATTATTAATTCTAACCTAAAAGCCTTAAACAAAATTTACATTGGAAAAAAAAATTTTTATATGCCAAAATTACGAAATACATTCAGAACCCTACTTAACATGTTATACCCAAACCTTGAACTTGAATCTAAAAAACCTAACCTCAAAACCAACATCAACAAATTAATTAACAGATAATAATAAAATAATTTTGTGACAAATTTTTTTCACTCTAATGATTTAATTTGACAATCTTTCCAGTTTTGAGGTTAGGTTTTTGGGTTAAGGTGTCATATTTGGGTATAGTATGGCATAAGGTGTGTGCTCTCGGAAAAATTGTTGATCGAATTTCTGTACAATAGATATTTTTCATTTTTTTTTATTAATTCTTAATTTAGTGAGTTTAAACTTAGTTAATGTTCACTTTTTTGACTTTTAAATACGTAAAAAGCCCTTCTTGTGAAAATATTGAAAGCATAATTACAAAAGGAAACGTGAAAAGTCAATAAATATGTATTTTTCGGGGTCTGGCAATGACTTTCACAGACTTTAGCCTACACCATTCAAAAGAGCGAAAAAGAATTAGTTGATTTAAAAAAAGACATT